CGTCCGTCCGTCCGTCCGTCCGTCCGTGTACATCGCGATTCTGATTGGCTACTTTTGAGAAGGCGGGAAAAGGAAGCGCGCTCGCGTCAATTTTTGAAACAACTTTTTCACCACAACGACGACACAACGACTCCATTTTTGTCCTTTGAAATACTTTACTTCTGCGCCAAATGTCGGAAAATCAACGGGTAAATAACGGAAAGCGATCTTTATCTGAAGAGGAACAGACAAGAAGAAGAGAAAGAGAGCGTCGAAGAAGTCTAAGTGAAGAACAACGCAGGCTTGAAAGGGAGAGAAAACGTGATAGACGAAACAATTTAATAAAGACTCAAGCAAATCGAGAAACAAGTGAACGCCAAAGACAACGATTATTGAGGGAGAATTTCTCATAGGAGAACTGACATATTCTCCGACGATACCGTGGCGTTATTAAACAAATGGCGGTATGTTAGATTATAAGCTTACATGCAAGCGGTTTTTGGTGCTCAATTACATCAATTCTTCTACTTCAAGAACCTTATAATAGGCAGTTTTAGTCTGGTTTAAATTTGCTTTTTAATTTGAAAATCTTTACCTGATACACTTCAAAACTTCTCAATTAAATGATATTGCATGGGTGCATGGAAATATTGTGCTAACTCGTGGGATAAATAAATTCAAAACTTGAAGATAAAATTCATATCTTCAAGTGACAGCTGTAATGTTCTGTTTATTAAATGACATTGGTGTAAGCAAAAGTGTGTAACATTTTCATTATAAGATCAAAAATTTTGAACATTTCAAGAACATATTAATTATTAATTTATGATTTATGCATGATTGAATAATACCAAAACTGTCAAAATGCATTTATATTATTTTATGATTCCTGTAAAGATTGAAAAATACCAACTATTAAGAATTTACAAAAAAAATTGCAAACAATTTCAATCTATTGACATATAAAGATGCATTTGTTGTTATTTTYATTACCGTATTTCTGCATGATTGAAAAATTTCAACTGTCAATTCAAAATGCATTTAATAATATATATAAATCCTGTATGATTGAAAAGTCAAAGTTTCAAAATATATTAATAATTTATATTAATTTATGATTTCTGTAATCGGAGTACAAACATTAAATGTGTGCAATACTTTCCACTATTTAGTACAAAATAATGTTAATTAAACAATAGAAAACAATAGAATTAGCATAATTTAGCAGTATTTAGTGGTATTTATGTTGCACAGTTTTAGTGTTTGTACTCTATCTAAAGAAGTTTTATTGTGGTAAATAACCTAAATTATGTTTTTAGCATTATACATGGTGTACTCTTCATAAGAAATTGTGCACTATCTGAATGCACACAATACCACAAGAATTCAAAATAAGTGGTTTTCTTTACATATATTTATATGTATCACTGCTTTGCATCAACAAAGCTGAAGAGAAAATATTTAATAATTATTTAATGTAGTGTAATGGAATTTTTTTGTTAGAAAAAATAAATTAGTCTTGACAAAACATGTACTAAAAATGTGGCCAATGTGTCTTGCATCCCATCTTTATCCAACATGCATATCTTTTGGGAGCTCCGCTATTAGGTTTTACCTAATTTTTATATTATCGTATTAAATGAACTTGATATTAGCTGATAAGATTTTAAAATTCCTTCGGAAGTTATAATTTCCGACTTTTATTGAATTTTTCGTTTTTCTCTATAAAACATTCACAGAAAAGTCGACAAGTGATGAGTTTGGGCTACCTGTGGTTGTTATTGCCCTCTATATCATTGAGTATGATAGGGTTTAGTCATGATAGTTGAAAATATTTTTTTGGTGCTCTTGTAGAGCAAATACAGATGTGCTGCTCAATCGTAGGCAAGAGATGATTCTTACAAATGGCGCCACTGGTACCACTGACGAGCAGTGTTTCCACTCCTTATATCAAAGGATTTCGATTAGTAGCTTTGATAAAATCGTGTAGCATCCAAGCCTCTTGTGTATTACTTTTTGTTTTCATGAATTGTTCTGGTTATAGTAATTACATACAATTAGTCAATAAATAAAAGCTATTAGTTACTACCTATTTGATTATGTTTCACGGTACAAGTGCGTTTGATTCACATTTAACTACTCATTCACGACAAAAAGGGAGGCGTGATATTTCACGGTCGCAGACCATTGGTAGCCTGTGTTACATTCGGAATTTTCTCGCTAAAATCCGTCTGTGAATCAGAACAATGAAACATGTTCTGGACACCAAGCGAACTACATGATTATACTAAATATTGATTGCCTTTCGATAGTGCTTTCGATAGTGCTCTCATTGGCTCATCTTGGACTTATATGTACATGAATAATTAGCAATATCATCGCAGTCGTATTGCTTTTATGAAAAGGCTCGGTTACCTTTCAAAATGGCGAACTTTTTTTTTCCCGGCTTTCTTTTCTTCATGTGAAAATAAAAACTTTCCAAATTAAAAAGATAAAGGATATTTTATGGATACAAAAATAATAACATGAACTATGCAATTTATCGAAATTTTTGTGACTATATTATGTCACGCTGTTTGGGTGATATATTTCGTGACAATAATTATTCCGGCCGCATAACGAAAAA